TTTTAAATCGGCGCATAAACTCAAGCTAATATTGAATTCCGAGCAAGACCGGGCACACTCAGCTAGTATTATATAAATTAAACATTGCATGATATACTATTACTATTAGCTTAATATTTCAGTTACCCAAGCAAGTCATCGAAATTAATATGAAGCTGATGAAGCAGAGGCAATAACAACATTAAATAAGATTATATTTTTCGTCTGTTAGTTATTCATCACAATTTTTAGCATTATTGATAGTACCATTATTTAATTGCCTTATATATCCTATACATTTCAGTGCTGCATCCACCTGCCATTGTGAGCTGAGGAGGTATAGAGCTGCATCTTATTATATGTAAAATACTTCTTCATTGCAGTAGCAACTATATTATCCATATAAATGTATTTCATTATGTCATATTTTAATGTTCTGATATATTTCATTTCTCCATTGTATATATTTTCATTATAGGAGGGAGCATCAGGGTATCATTCAAACTGAAACTGGACGATGGTATGATTGACAACTCCGGCTGGAATAAACACTATCATTTTCTTTATCCTACCGATTCGATTGTGGTGGTGTGAATTCTACTCCAACAGTTTCAGGGCGATTGACGCACCCTTCTTAACCAACCATCCAGTAGGAAGCTTAATAAGTATTGCAAATTGTGTTATTCGATTTGTTGGAGCGTATCGTTGGAAGGAGATTCTTGAATTCCCGTGGATTTCGCGTAAGTGTCTCTGCTTACGGGTCCACCCCTCCGTTTTTGGCCCTTCATACAGCGATATAGTGAATTCAGATCGGTAGCTCAAATTGATCTTGCTATTAAGTGGAGCTGCATACAAGACAAGTCTTGAAAAGATGGTGGCTATCTTACATACATACAAAACAAAAGAGCTAAATTTTTTTAAATCCACTAATTTGAGGACCACCTTGACGTTTGCAAGCACCAAAAGAAGGAAATTTTTGAGCACAAAAACTTTTCCGAAGACACTAAATATTCAAATATTGAGACAAATGTACTAGCACATTTTATTTAAATCTATCATTAGAGTGGTCCTATTAAAACCATCTTTTGCAGATAACTTCTTTGATGATTTGAAACTGATGAAGTTTGGTTTTAATAGAATCGGATTGAATTTTTCATAATATACATACATTCAAAGACTATGAAGAGCTAATTGAGTTATTTCCTTTTCATTCCGATATAATTACTTATCTTTTGACAGATAGGCGTATTACGTCCACAACTTGTAGACTTTCTAAGTGCCAAGTATTCAAGCAGTACACTGAGCAGTGCTTGAGTACCTGGCACTGAGGAAATCTACAAATAGTAGACGAAATACACGTATCTGTCAAAAGATAAACAATTATAACGGAATCAAATGGAAATAGCTCAACCCACTCAAAAACTCTTCATTTTTTCATTAATCATGTAACGTATCATATTTTGGGGCACCCATATACTGGAACAAGTCGAGAAAACTTCCAACGCCTACTATGTCCTTGACTGAAGCAGAAACTGAAACAGTACACAGCGCTGCAGCTGCAGTCCACATGAGCATCCATAGAAGAAGGGCAATCCGCACCGCTATTGATCGGAATCAGTAGCTCTTCGTGAGTCGCTCTGGGCCGTCTATGTCAAGCGCGTCATACTAAAGAGTATAAACAGAGACAACCGTGATAAAATTCCTATTCCTACACGCTCCTGCTGCAGTTAACAAATAAGATTTATTATATAAGACAGTCCTACGTCACCATTGCGTACAACCCCATAGAGCTGTTCCTTGTAGTTTTTTAGTACATCATCATTTTTGTAATTGCGGATCTAAAAGCCAATTTTGGCTTTGCTTTGATTCGCCAATCAAGATATTAATTTTATCACCTTCCCTTGAAATTGTTTAGTGCGATACGATTTTACATTATTCAGAACGGTAAATTGTAGAGCGTGAAAACACTTTACTGCATAATCATAAGGCATTATAGCATAAACATAGGGGAAATGTATGTAACGTTGGCCTAAGTGTCCCTAATTTGGGCCCATACATAAATTCAGCAATCGACTAAATTTTCAATAGCAACCAAAAATATCCATTAGTACCGTCCCAATGACGCGTTCATCTAGATAAAAATCGATAAATAATCCATAGGCCATCATTAGAGCCATTAATACTTCAATACAACTTATACTAGAAAACAGCTATCAGTAGTTATGGTTATGGGTCATTATAACCTTTTAAGAACATTGGAATAATGAAGAGCTTTGAGTGTGTTGGTTTATTTGTTTTTATTTCCGTTATAATTGCTTATCTTTTGACAGATACTCGTATTTCGTCTACTACTTGCAGACTTCATCAGTGCCAAGTACTCAACACCACTACTTGGCACTGATGAAGTCTGCAAGTAGTAGACGAAAAACGCGTATCTGTCAAAAGATAAGCAATTATAACTGAATTAAAAGGAAATAAACCAACACACTCAAAGCTCTTCATAAAGGGATTCCGTTAAGAGGTTTGACAAATTTAAAAGATTAGAAAATGATAAACTAACAATTTCATCAGTTTGCTTGAAAAGTTCACGGTTAACTGTTTGCTCGCGTTGTTTTAATAATAATAAAAATGGCTTTTTATGTCGTCCAAAAAAATCGAAACCTGTTCTCACAATTGTTCACTTATTTCAGAAAATTAGATGCAGCAATATTGTTTTTGGAAAACAAAGTTTTCTGTTACTTCTATATAAATTTTACACAACAAGCGTTTTTTTTCTTATTCTAAAACATGTTTTCTGTGTTACTCTTGGTAGAAAGGTTGAAAGTAAAGTACATATATGGGAATGATCTGTGTTATTGATTTTACAGTTAATTAGCAAGTACATTTTAAGGAAAAAGTTCCAAAGAAAGTAGATAAATATTAGCTACCTAAATGCTCTCGGCCACGTGAATTCTTGATTATTGCTTGTAATTATCGAAAATAATTGATTTAAGGTAGTGAAATTAAATGAAAATTACCAATCCTTCTATCTCTCTCTTTATACGTTTTAATAACTGTGATGTACTGCTTGAGTTAGTAAAGGCTTAGCGAATAGAATATCTTAGGCCATGAATAACTCACTGTCTCCGAAATGTATACAAACATTGTTACCGTCACCAAATTGTCTTTTTACAGATCATAAATAGTGCAGACTAGCCAAGACAGTAGCTCAATTCAAGAACACTAGATTGTTCATGGTTTTACATTAAGTTGAGCTCCCGCACAAAGGCAATTAAACCAATCATATTAAAATAAATCCCCGGACGATTCAACCTTTTTTCAGATCATCGCACCCCAGCCCACACCAACGCCCATCTTTGGCTCTGCCTCCAATTTGTGTGAACCTAAGCGCCATTCTCTGTTCTATTTGGATCCCATTCATCTTCTCGCCATTCAGCACCTACTTGCAAAAAGCTCGCATTTTCCTAGAATTTTCGTCTTTCGTCTCTTCGGAGAAATGGAAAACTTGCCATTCCACACAGTTCCGCACGACAAATATGTCTACAACAGCCAGAGTCACCAAGTCTCGCTACTCTCTTTCTCTCTAGTAGTGGTTACTTACTTACGGTCGCTTACTTTCACAACAACTTCAGACCACACTGAAAATGTATTTTCGTTATTTCTCTGAAAACCGTTTCGTAAAAATGAATATCGTACATACAACACATCTTTCATAAATGGTACGAAACATTCGTTTTTCCTGTCATCTGGCGCAATGTCAATATTACACCTTATTCGTATAATATACAAATACATCTTCGTACAATCAAACCAACAACTGCGCTTATTGTCTCCTAAAGTGCTGATTGTGTGTTGGTGATGGGACATTTATTTTTAGAAATATTGTCGGTTTGACCAATACATGCGAGCTACAACAATAAATCAAATTACTCGTCGAGGTGGTTTTATGTTAGAGAAAAAAAAATACTTGCAAGCAGCAGAAAAAGCAAGCGAAATCGAATTACCGTTCCATGAGTGCTTCTTATTTGACTTTAGCTTTACCATTTCTCATAGCACAGATAGAGCGATGGATAAAGCACAAAGCTGACGATCGCAAGGTTCATGAGTCGAGTCCGGTCTGAAACTTATTTTTATTTTTTTGTCATATTTATTCCTTGCAATGATGAAGTTATTTTTACCCATCCTCACTCACACACTCCACATTTTTCGGTTTCCACAACCAACACTTGTGGCCCACTGGTTGGGTGTAGCGATAGCGAGTGTGGCAGTTCTAACGAAACTAGCTTCATACAATGTACAAATCTATTTCGTTGCAGAAAACAACGAATAAATTCGTAGAACAAACGAGCGATTTCGTTGTATAAACGAAATTTTATTTTCAGTGCACCCGCCGTGGAGATGGAAAACACAACCAGCTTGGTAATTCTCCCATTTCTAGTAGGTAGGTATCCGATTTTGAGCTACTCACTGCCATACAGATATACAAGCTGAAGGTTACTACCAAATTCCGCCCATTCCACCCAACCATAACAAGAGCGGCAACCGTTTCTGGGTTGTGATGGTATGAATAACATACATAGTTCGAGTTGCGTCTGTGTGAGTGAATGCTCGCAAATTTTCTCATTCACTTGTTTGCCGGTATTGGTGGTTGCAATTTTCCCCATTCAGTTCGCGCGTGTTGTTTTTGTTATTGTTGTTGGGCATCCTGTTATAAGCAGCAACACAACAACCGCGCGCGCGACCACATGGTTCTGTAAGCTTGCAAAACATAGGATAACTCTCTGGGAAAAAGCTTCGCTCTGTTCGCTCTCATGAGATGAGGGAGCCTGAGAGAAAAAGTTGCGTACGATGTGAGATTTTCCGGATTGGATGTGGCAATGAAAGCTGCCTTTGGTACAGGATCTCTGCGTGTCAAGGATTCTGCTTTTGCTGCCATCCAAAGGCTCGCTAGTATACCGTGAGCGATTGTCGTAAGTAGATGTCTTCCGAGAAGCATCCCTGTGTTTTGGATACGTTTCCCCGTCGGGTGTGTGTTTTGCTTCTTTTATGGTTCCTGGTAGAACTTTTGCAATAACAGTAAGTCCCCCATCAGTAAGGAATCCGTGTTTGTTAGATGATAGGAAGCTTGTGTAGAATTCTAGTTCCAGTCTGTGCTAGTTGGTCTAGGTTTGCGACTAGTGAGAGTGAGAGTTCCTAGGAGAGCCTGGGATACGCGCGTGTAACTGGAGTATGTTCGACAGATTCGAGACGTCTCTAGCCTCTGAGGAATTTTTGGGGCGCGACATCAATCAGGATGAACGCGATGATGTTTGATTTGTGACCCTGCCGAGACGGGAATTATTGCCGGAGCCGTGCAGCAGTAACACAGGTTAAATGTTATGTAATGATGAGTTTGGGAGTGTCAGAACAAACGACCCGGATGATTTATGATTGGATCGTTAAAAATTGCGTCGACAAGTGATAAACGGCTGGACCCACCATGTACCGTGTGGATCAGTAACTAATGAAGCGTGAAGGAAAAAAATCGATTCGGGTGGAATTCTGCCTAGTCAGGAAGGCGAAAAAATGAGGAGGATTCTCGTTAGTGTTTCTTAATCCGTTTTCATGGATGAAGGTCCCGTTCGTTTCCTATGCTCCTGCTCGGAGCCTCCGATGAAATAGGATCCTTTCTGGAATATTTCGCGTCGTCGGCTCCTCCCGAGCACCGAGAGCAGCATCCGACACCGAAGCACTAGAGTCAACTCCAACTCCAGCTGCAACAACAACAACAACAACAATGTGAATGCGATTCACTTTCATGTTTGTGTTTGTGCGCGTATTTCCGTCGAACCGGGGTGTGGAGGTTTCCTCTCGTAGAGTATAGTAAATTTGTTCATGTGATCAGAAAATTGCATCCCCTGGAATACTCGCACTCCTTTCATACCTCTTGCAGTGATCGGCGTTGAATCGAAATCAAAACGCAATAAAAAGATACGTGAAAGCAACATTGTGTGCTAAATATTTTAAACAGAATTACCATTAAATATTCACGGGTAAGCCCCTTCCCATGCTCTTTGAAATACCCCCGCCGCAGGAAGTGCCGAAAGGATTCGTTAAGCCGTAAAGCATACTCTTTGGCTTCGGTGGTGCTTGCTTTGCTCGAGGCTTCATCAGAGTGATAAATCCGCTTGGAAAACAGGATTTGGAACGAACACTGCACGTGAAAGAGGATTATAATTCGGGCCGGCAAGACACCCAACCCACGGACGACTGGGATCGGAAGCGATAAATTTGAACACAGGTTGGTATCGGGGACAAATATTTGCTAACGCTCATCGTTGTTATCGAAGGATGGTGGCGGCGGGAGATCGATGACACGTGCGGGTTTGGCTTTTTGTCTAACTGATTGACTGACTGCCCCCGAGAAAAACTAAATCTCCAGCACGTTTCGGAGTGACTGACCGCAAAGAAGGAAAAGCTTTCTCCATTTGACTGCGAACTGGTGCTGTGTGTATGTGTAATAGTTTCATCTTCTCGGAACTTTGCGAAAAATGTACGTGAGAATGCAGCCGCAAATCAAGAGGCGATAGTATGAGTTTATCTAGCACACTAATCCTGAAGAAAGTTTCATGGTCGCAGCGGGAAAGTTTTGCTACCCTGAATGAGATGAACAATTTCATTAATGGGGTGTCAGGAATGAGCTGTGGCTTAGATACAGTAGCCCTTCTATATATGCGGTAGGTGGTACTGTGCACCCACCGCTGTTTTTCGACTGCCCTTCAAACAATTACGCTGATTTTTCGTATGTGATTAGTGTCTTAGCTTAGTTTAGACTGACTGCACAAATCAATGGTTGCTACTCCGTGATTGATTAGAATCAATGAAATTGCGCAATGAATCAATTGTATGGAGTTGGAAGTGAAAGTGACCGAACATTCTCATTGTTCAAGTTTCAGCGACTTCTTAAAGATCAATAACGGCGCTGGCTACGTCCTTGCAATCAGCTGGGAGATGGGAAGGAAAGTTAGAGTGACCTTTGTTGCTTTGGGGACCGTGTTTACCTCTGCGTCCCCACAAAGGTCACATGAGGGAGGTTTTGTTAGTAGGGTGCGGTTCGTTGGATAAAGATTCACCTTGATAAAAGATGTGATCATTGATTTCCTATAATGGTAGTTTGATAAATACACGAATGCAGAGCTATGCTAAAACAAAACGATCCTATCAACTCTTTATTGTAAAGCAGCCTGGGATTGAACCCATGATTTTCTGCTCAGTAAGCAAAAATGGTTGGACTAGACAACCAAGCCCTTTACATCACAGTAAAACCACTATGACCGATGATCGATTTTGCATAAGAATGACATCAAATAACAGAAACAGAAGAAGTCAACTAGAGATTTGAACATTTCAACTTATTTGTTGCTTGGTAGGGGAAATGGCTCTAATGTTGGCCTATGGATCTAAGATTGAACCAATCGCTAAAATCTGCTATTTATCAATTTTATCTAGATGAACGAGTCATTAGGACGGTACTTATGGATATTTTTGGCCTCCATTGAAAAATTGAGTCGATTGCTGAATGTATGTAGGAATGGCCCAAATTAGGGGCATTTAGGCCGACATGTAGTGAACAACAGAGATACGCGATAGATTCTGCGGTTGATTATTATTTCTAAATATAAAAATGGTCTATCCAACAACCATCACGATGACGACGATGATGACGACAACAGCGATTTTGGAGCTTACGTTTTGTCTAGGTTATAATACCTTTTCCTTTACCGCCGCTTGGAAAACGAGAAAACGATACTCTTTGCTATTCCGAACAACCGATATTCCAACACCATTCGAACTATTACTTGACGATACCCATTTTGCTTCGCGATCGCGAAACACGAAACTTAAAATCCCGAAAATAAGCAGACATTAAATGTCGATCTCGAGTTCGAACTCCATTAGTGATAGGTCTTTGCTTGTCGATTTCCTTGCCCGTAATGGAAGGAGAGCCAATGTCAGTAATGTTTATAAATACAGTCGATAACGCACCACTGGGGCAAAAACGGCTTCCCGATGTGAAAGGGTTCAGTCTTATTTTCCATAACTGTGATTTTCTGGATGGAAGAGGTCTCGGAAAAGATCCGGCTTTACCTGATCCATAACGTTAGAATAACGGTTGGTTCCGTATCGACCTGAAGGGTTCGCGGAACGAATATCTCGATTGCAGTTGACTAGTCGAACATTCCACAGAAACTAACTTTTCAGGTTAAAATCCACTTCTCGAAAACTAAACTGGGGATCCCATATATACCGGGACCAGTGATTTCACGAAATTTACACTTCTATTTGGATAGGCAAAATACAAAGTGTGCATTATTTCGACTATATCGGAATCTTTGCTTCCAATGACGAAGAATTTGGCAGCTGGTGCTGTTTGTCAAAATGGATATCACAGTTGTGTACAATGAGCAGAGCTAATGAGAGTCTTGAGTTTTCCAATTTTGGCCAGCGCCCCAACCCAAATGCTCACCTGTGGAGACTTGCGCTTCAAGAAAAAGCCGTATAAATGATAAGTTCAAACATAAACTAATAGGGTAGAGGTCTACTTCAGCATAAGTGCTTGTTTCCGTCATATCGGGCTGACACAAGGGGTAGGTCACTCCGCACACCAGTCTTGGGTCATCTTTTATGTAGTTTGTTTTGTGTGAGTTGCAGAATTATTCGAATTAAGGGTATTAATGGGGTCTGCCTCTTTCTCTTGAGCCAACTCTAGAACCTAAATTTCGTATTTAGATCTATAAGTGAACTGCTGATCTGAGTTCCTCAGTCAGTCAAACAGCACGTAATGTTGTGAACAACTTCAATGACGGTTGTCCAGCAGTGCTCCCATTTTATTTACAACAATCCACTGCCTACGAGATTGTGCCGAAATTGTGCCGAAATTGTGCCGAAGGTATGTGGAAGGTGTGCCGAATCTAATTTCGGCACAATGTGCACAACATACCCCTTGGGCTGACATCAAACTTATTAATGAATTCGATGTGAACGGATCCAGCATGCGTATGGATGGTACGATAATTTAGTTCAAAAACTATAAAACAAAGTCTATAAGAACGCATAATACGAATACAGTCAACTCTCCATAACTCGAGATTGAAGGGACCATCGAGTTGAAGAATTATCGGCCTATAGAATAATTTTTTTTTTATCGTTTATAATTTTAATAATAATATTTAAATACTCCATTTACTGGAATATCTGGCTTTATTTACTCATATGAATTCAAAAAAAGGGTTAAAGGATCCACTTATGGAAGCTCTGAGTAGTTAATTTATAATATTAAGTTAATATGCGCAAAATACGCAATAGGACTGCCAGTTCTTGAAATCAAATTTGTGAAGATATCAGAGGTTTTGATCATTTCTGGGTGTGGCAATATCGCCTTGAGGATGTCCGGCCATTAGTCTGAAAGTAATTAGGTCGAATGTCATTAGGGCGGATGGTCATTAGCCCAGACTTAAATAACTTTCGAAGAGCTTCCTTGCACAGTTATGTTTGAAAATTTTAAACATTTAGATATTTATAGTAGATATGTTCCCTTCTTTCAAACATGAACAGTTCATTCGAGGTTTACTGATTGTGTAATTTTTGGCACCATGAACAAAATATTAAATATTTGTTTGCTTTCTTTTAAGAGCTGATCATTCTTTCATCGATAGTTACATTTGGCTTAGAATTTCACTACTACTACTCATTTGGCAAAAAAAACCCTGAGTTTTCCGAGGGGGCGACTTTATCTACAATGCAGGAAAAATTGTGTACGCTGAGTAGATAGAAAGAAGATTGAGGACGGTTCTGAACATTTCCGGAAGATGATGCGCGACGCAAGTAGATGCGAGAAATGACAGAAGATTTTTCGATGATTCATTCGCTAGTGTGAGATTTGCTGAGCATCTAGAATTGAGATTTAGGTTTGTCGCCCCCTCGGAGTTTTACAGAACTTTTACGGAAAATTCACCGCTTTATAAGAAGCTGTTTTTTTTAAATTCGTTAATATGTTATTTTTGATAAACAACTAGACTGTCGCAAACGTTTTTAAGACATGACAATCAGTTTTAAGCGACCAGTCTTACACTCATAATCATTAAAAGTATAAGTTTATCATTTACTTAATTTTAGTAAGTCTAAGATCTAAAAAAAATCATAAATTAATGATTCGAATTCCAAATCCATAGTAAAGATCTTGAAAATTTCAAAGCGTCAGAATTGATCATTTTAGATGGTCAAGTTTTGAACCCACCACAACATGCTTTTGGCGCTACTGTATATGGACGATCAAATGTAAAATACTATGGTAGCCACAGCACAGTTCTGTCAAAAACTCTGCTTTTTCATTGATCCATTAAAAAAAATGAAAAAGTTCACAATCTTAAAAACACATCGAAGTTTGGCATTACGAATACTTCTGTTGGTTTTGGAACTTGAAAACTTCTCATTTAGATTTAGGAATTCTTAGAAATTGGCCCATGTCCGGAATATTTTAAAATAAAACTGCCTGTGTCTTTAATTTTTTTTCTTAATCCAGGATCATAAAAATGTCAGAACATGAAATCTCTAGATCTTGATTTTTATTCTAATATCTGAAAAAAAAATCTTTGTTTTGGAATCTTCCTGATACTAAAACTTGCTTCATTTAGAATGGATCATTGAAGATGCTGAGGTTTTGACAGCACCGTACTGTGGCTACCACAGTATTTTACATTGGTTCGTCCGTATACAGTAGCGCCAAATGAAAGCTGTGGTGGGTTCAAAACTCAGCCATCTAAAATGATCCATTGGAACAAACTTTTGCTCATATTGTGGTGCTCCTGGTGGACGGATTTGGAAGTTCTTAGCGCCCACGTGTCGGGAATTTTGTCAGCTTCACGTATGTATTTTTGACATTCCGCAAATCGACTGTACTTTGTAAACAATCAACATGGAAGCCGAAAGAAGGGAAAAAATTGTGCACAGTTATTTGGAAAATCCATTGTAGTCTGCATCTAGGCTAGCTAAACAGCTGAAATTGCCCAGAAATACCGTATGGCGCGTTATCAAACGGTATAAGGAAACATTGACGACGATTCGGAAGCCTCAAGCTAATCGTCGGAGTGGAACTGTCGACCGGAAACTTCGTGGTAAGATTTTGAAGACGATTAAGAGGAATCCCAATCTGTCGGACCGTGATTTGGCCAGAAATTTCGGTGCTGCCCATAGTACCGTGAGGAGAACTCGACTCCGGGAAGGAATCAAGTCGTATCGAGC